TATTTGCTATGTTCAAATGAATTTAAAGTTAAGATATTTTTAAAATTATTTTCAGCAGTTACAGTTAAAACAATTGGGGAGTGCTGTGGCCCCCTCGCCCCCCCATCCTGACCCGCACCCATTTCCCACGTCCCTGCCTCCGGTGTGTATGTTTGAGAGAGACGGAGCTGAACGCAGCTCTAATGCAGATCTCTGCAGGAATGCTGATCTAAAAGCGTCTCTCGTTGCCGCTGCAGGACGAGTTCATGGTTTATTTTTGATCACTTCAGGCTGGAAGTGAACCTGTTTTCAGTCCTAAATTTCCAGGTCACATTCCTGTGGGTCTGTTTACAGTATTAAACCCCCAGAGAGGGAGAGAGAGAGAGAGAGAGAGAGAGAGAGAGAGAGAACACCAAAGCTGTGGGCTACTGTAACCCGGCGCCTTCATAAAGAGGAGCGAACAGAGGAGTCAGACAGATCAGTGAGCTCCTCTCGCTCCAGGCTACACACTCACAGTTCACCGTCAGGAAGCAGAGCAGCGGCCGACACTGAGGGGTTTGTGTGAATCAGTTCTTCAGTTACACTTCTTTAAGGTTCTCTCTCTTTAATGTGACGCTGAGATTAGATATCAGTGAGGTTACGGTTAGTGTGGCCTGATTCCTGCAGTGGCACCTCTGAGGAGCTCCAGAGGTCATTACCAACGAAAATGAGTCATTTTTATCTTACCAATCACATTGTAGCTCAGGCATGAGTCAAAACATGACACACAACAGATGGACTTCAGAAGTAGAGTGTCGGTCAGATCACTTTACATCCACAACAGTTTTAATGTACAGCCACTAAAAGACAACGTGACTCATCTCTGAAGTCATCAGAGCCCATTAGTGAATTAAACACCTCTTTACCATTGCAGCACTTCAGCAGGAGGAGCTTCAGAGCGTCTTCACAGAAACACACAACACTTCAGATCAAATATTCACAACCTTAGATCAGATCAGTATTTACAGTTACCGTCCAATACCTGCTTTATCTGATCAATATTAATAACGTTAAATCAGGTGATGGAATTTAATCAACTCATGTGGTGCTGGAGAGCAGAGAAAAGATCAGGGACCAAAACTGTGATCTTCTAACTGTGATCTAAGTGAAGTCTTCTAACTGTGATCTAACTAAGATCTTCTAACTGTGATCTGTGATCTTCTATGATCTTCTGTGATCTTCTATGATCTTCTATGATCTTCTGTGATCTGTGATCTAACTGTGTTCTTCTGTGATCTTCTAACTGTGTTCTTCTAACTGCGATCTTCTGTGACCTTACTGTGATCTTCCTACTGTGATCAAACTGTGATCTTCTAACTGTGATCTTCTGTGATGTTCTAACCTCTATATTCATAACTTTAATTAAAAACTGCACATTCTGACTACTGATTACTGTGTTTATGTTTATTTTTGTTTCATCTAATGTGACGATACAGAGTTTTTACTGTATTTATGTTTATTCTAGTGTTATATAGCTGTTTTACTGTATTATGTTTATTTGTTTTTAATTTAATGTTATTCGATGGTTTTACTGTATTTATGTTTGTTCTAATGTTCTAATCATTAAAATAATGTTTACAGTTTTCATTCATGGCTGCTGAAGACTTTTGCCCAGTACTGTATATGTAACGACCTACTGTGTGTATATATATGTATGATACAGTATAGTACAGTATAGTACAGTACGACACACTGCATTACAGTTTGATATGATATGAAACACTGTGATGTGTGTCATTTGTTTTATTGTTTGTTTGTAGTAAACTGTAAGTGAATGTAAAGTGTAACTGTGGTGTTCCTGTGGTCAGTCCGAGTGGGGTCAGTCTGAGCGGTCAGTCTGAGTGGGGTCAGTCTGAGTGGTCAGGCTGAGTGGCCATGTCTCTGTGTGATTATGTTTAACTGTAATGATCTGTTCTTCTCTAATACATCATCAATATTGTAGTTATTAATCGTTTATTATCTGTTACTCCTGTGAGTGGGTTTAGTGCAGATGATCGTTCAGAGAAATCAGAGGCTCTGATTGATCAGGCAGATGGTGAGAGACGAGGAGCTGAGCTAATTCTGACATCATCATTTATTCATGATCTGAACTACCAGTCCTTACAGGAACTGATCAATATCAGCCTAGTGACACCATACACACATACACACATACACACATACACACACACATACATACATCTCTCTGATCTCTGTCTCACAGCCTATATATATATTATATATATATATATATATATATATATATATATATATATATATGTATGTATGTATATATATATGTGTGTATATATATATATATATATATATATATATATATATATATACACACTCACATACATACACATACAGTGCTGTGAAAAAGTATTAAAGTATTTACCCCTCCACAATTTCTTCTATTTTTTTTTTCATATCTGTCACACGTGAATGTTTCAGATCATCAAACTATTTTTAATATCAGACAGTGACAACCCAACTAAACACAAAATGCTGTTTTTAAAGGATGATTTCATTTATTGAAGGAAAATGCTGTTCAGCCCTACCTGACCCTGTGTAAAAAAGTAATTGCCCCCTTAGCTACTAAATCAACCAGTTAACCATATTCAACTGACTATTAGGTTTAATTTTACTGCCACACCCAGCTATGATCACTGCCAGACCTGCTAAATCTAAACATCACTTAAAAAGAACCTGTGTGGCAATGTGAAGCAGCTAGAAGGTCTCAAAAACAGCACATGATGCCACGTTCTAAAGAGATTCAAATACAGATGTGAAACAAAGTCATTGAAATGTACCAGTGGAAAGGGTTACAAAGCCATTGTTAAGGTTCTGGGACTCCAGAGAACCACAAAGAGACCTGTTATCCACAAATGGAGAAAACCTGGAACAGTGGTGAACCTTCCCAGGAGGGACCGTCCTACCAGAATTTCACGAAGGGCGAATTGATGACTCCTCCAGGAGGTCATAAAAAATCCTAGATGACCTAAAGAACTGCAGGCCTCACTCATCTCAGTTAAGGTCAATGTACATAATTCCACAACAAGACAGACGCTGGGTAAAAATGGCATCCATGGGAGAGCTGCAAGGCACAAACTACTGCTGACCAAAAAGAACACGAAGACTTGTCTCACATTTGTCCAAAAATATTTGGATGACCCCCAAACGTTTGGGATAATATTCTGTGGACTATTGAGACAAAGGTGGAATTTTTGAAAGACATGGGTCCCATTACATCTGGTGTAAAGCTAACACTGCATTCCACCATAAGAACATCACACCAACAGTGAAACATGGTGGTGGTAGTATGATGGTCTTTTGCAGGACCGGGATGACTTGTCATAATTGATGGAATCATGAATTCTGCTCTCTTTCAGAAAATCCTGAAGGAGAACATTCACCCACCAGCTCAAGTGCAGTTGGGTTGTTCAGCAGGACAATAAACCAAAGCACACAAGCAAGTCCACCCTGAATGGCTCAGAAGAAACTAAATGACTAAATGACTAAAGGTTTTGCAGTGGCTGAGTCAAAGTCCTGACTTGAATCCTATTGAGATGCTATGGTGAGACCTTAAATGGGCAGTTCACGCTCGAAAACCCTCCAATGTAACAATTCTGCAAAGAAGAGTGGGCCAGGATTCCTCCACAGTGATGTAAAAGACTCATTACAAGTTATTGCAAATGTTTAATTGCAGTTGTTACTGTCATATGTATATATACACACACAAAAACATTTCTTGTATATATCTTTCTTTCTCTCTCTCTCTCTCTCTCTGTATAATTGGTATTTATGTGGTGAGTGCAGGTGTTCAGTGTTGTAGAAGTGCTGATTATCAGTCACTGAGAAAAGATTATCAAGACAGAATTTATCACAATAACAATCACGACTTGATATCGTTCAGCTCTGACAGAATTAAACTAGCAGCAGCAGCTGTTTATCATCCACTCTGTGTCCTGAGTGACTCTACAGCACTGCAGCCAATCAGAGCTCTGGATCAGTCTGAAGTGCAGTTTAGTCAGAAATGCTCCCTCACTGTTACCTCCCCACACACACACCCCCCGCTGATTCAGCGCCGCACTTTCACCCTCAGTAAATCACTGCGTACTGGAGTGCACACACGTGCAGACAGAGTGCATAACTGTAATGAAATGCCTTCATCCAGAGCACTTCACTCAGTCACCCAGTCACTCAGAGAAGGAGACGCAGCAGCTCTGACATCCGCCTGAGATCCTCACCATCAAAACCGAATCACATCTCCAAAATCAGACTTTACAGGAGGAGGAAAAACATCATTAACTCACAATGGAAGTTATTTTTTTCTAATTTCTATTTTTTTCTATTTTTTCTAACTGACCAATTTTGTCAGTTTGTTTATCATTAAAATTTTAACTGAATGTAAAGAGAAACTGGAGCTTAGGATTCATGCAAAAAAGAAAAATTCTGAAAATGGAGACACAAGGCTGAGCAACAGTGATAACATGCAGCACATTAAAGGGACACTTTTTCAGCCTAAACGCTGCTTTTCTGCCAGACTGCATATTTGATCACCACAGAATGATTGATGCAGAATGTGCTGTATTAATTATATATCGCTATTGTCAGAACAAAACCTCATATCTCCAAAATGGTAACTTTACAGGAGAAGGAAAAAACTTACTTCACATTTAATGTAAGTCAATGGAACCAGACTTATTTCCAAGTGATTTTGGGTCACTTTTTTAGTCTATTCATCATGAAATTGAAAGACAATGCAAAGTGTAACAAGTATTTTCAAATTATGGCAAAAACTGCAAAATGCCAAAAATGGAGAAATGAGGTTTTGAGTTCTTTTTAAAAACTGTAACAATGTTTAGGCCCCATGATACGGGCCCTTCAACCATTTAGATAGATAGATAGATAGATAAATAGACATATATCAATATACAATATATATATATATATATATATATATATATATATACACATACAAGTGTAATGTGTTTACTCACCAGCTCTTTGGCTGTGGTGAGAGCTGCTGATGAAGAGCTAGAGAGAATCCGAAGAAGCTGCCCGGCTCTCCCTCCTTGTTCAGAGTGTCTGTGGTGTCCAGATTAAAAGCTGAGATCGGCACAGAGAAGACCACCAGCAGCAGGCCGATCAGTCCTGCCCAGCGGCCCACCATGCTGCTCCGGCACTCCAGATCCATAACACAGTCCACACACTGATGTAGATGTTCCAGAGCAGATACGGGTTCCCTGAAGGACTACCAGAAGAGCAAGTACTCTAATAGAGCAAACCGAAGCGACATGAGCGGCTCTCTCAGCCCTGCTCTCTCTCTCTCTCTGCTGACACTCGGTGTGGTGTGTGAGCGTGACCGTGGTGGGCTAATGTGTGTTAGTGTGTGGGGGGGGTGAGAGTCTGCAGCGTCCCCCCGTGTGTCCCCCCTCGCTCTGAGACACACACATAGAGGACAAGTGCTTTGAATAGCCTGCTCCTCCCCCCTTTCTCTCCCTCTCTCTCTCTCTCTCTCTCTCTCTCTCAGCTGACACCAACACTCAGGGGACGACTGCCAAAATACCAGGCAAGGTTGTTGGGATACTTGGACACAACTGAATAGAAAAAAGAAAAAAGAAATGCAAACCAAAGGGTGCAGGATTTATACCTGTTAAAGGGCCTGTATGACACATTCTCATGTACTGGTTCCATGTTTGTGAGGTTTTTATGAATCAAAAACAGTAATACTGAATTCGTAAATTACTATTTTCCAGGCTCCCTTTATTCCTTCCAGTTGAGGGCTTTAAATCCAGACTGTGAATCCAGTGTCCGGTCCTGGATTTCATGGTCACTGGCAGTTAACTGAACTGCTGCTGTGAATGACTGGCCGTCTGCTGTCATATCTTCCAGCAACTGCAAAATCCAGGACTGGAAAACTGGACTCAAAGCACAAATGCAAAAGAAACCCTGCACTCAGAGTTAAACAGCTTTATTACTGTGCCTCTTAGATGCAAATAACCTCACACTGGCTGTCCTGAGTTGTTCACAAAACATAAAATGTGAATGGTTGGGGCTAAACAGGCAGACAGACAGACAGACAGAAAGATAGACAGACCAACAAACAGCCAGACACATAGACTCTATATATATATATATATATATATATACATATATATATATATATACACTTTGCTGCATGGTGTTGCCTTATGGCAACAATCAATTTATCTGAATTTTACTAAATAGAAAATTACTGTTAATTGTGGGAAAAGAGTCTTTTACTTTAAAGGAACAAATACATGATGACACCACATGCCCAGGAAATCTTGTTTGTACTCTTTTTTCCCATGGACACTTGACACTAAGAAGGCCATGACCTGAGGGCTCCCAAAATTGACTAATTGTTCAATATTTAGGTAAAATTCCTTAAAAAATGAAATACTGTATGCAACAGTATGCAAATATGGTAGTGATCTGTGTGCATTCAGTCTATTGGTCTTAAACAGCACTAAGCTACTCTGAGACTACATTTACAGCTTTTGATTACATTTAAAAGGAAAAGACATTTTTATTTATATTTTGTAATTTCAGACATTTTTGAACTGTAATGTGTTATCTGGGTTATGAATTGCACCTCTGGAAATCATGGTTTTAACAGAAGGAAGTGTGATATCCCACCCAAATTATATGTTGGTCCACTTTTGTGTACATTTCTAGCCAATAAAAACATCTAGATGATGACTAAAGTAAAGGTACAGTGAATGAGAATAATTCAATACAATTACACAAGAAATAAATAATAGGAAGGTGGATGTCTCTGTGTCTTATTACAGGTGTATGTAACTTGTGTATCTTATTACAGTGTTATTACTACATTGCAAATAACAATTTTCAATTGTATTAATCTTTGTATATATTGGGTTATACACTTCACTAAGTGTATGTTATATTTGTTTAGTCTTGTTTTCAATATAACAATGCTTTTAAAGAACATTAGATTTTATGGTCCTGAACGCTTTAGTATAATTGTATTAAGTAACACAATGGATGCACCTCTGAGATCGTTGCACATATTCTGCACATTTTGCATATAAGTATACAGACTGGCTATGCACCAATAAACTGTCTAGTTTATTCTGTATTTATTGTGTATTTGTTTTATTTGTATTTATTGTGTGTACTCACTTTATCAGGAACACAGAAAAGCTGTGGTCACTCAAATAACCCCTCTGTACGATTGTGCTGAACAGAAAAGCACCTCAGAATGCACATCAAACTTTGAGGTGGATGGGCTACAACAGCAGAAGATTATGTCAGGTTCCACTTCTGTCAGCAGAGAACAGAAAGCTGAAGCTGAAACTGGACATTTGAAAACCAAAAAAACGTGATGAATCTGGATTTCTGCTGAGTCATACAGAACAGGGTCAGAATTTGGCACCAACAGCATGAATCAATGGACCCAACCTGTATTGTGTGAACAGTCCAGGTTGGTGGAGGTGGTGTAATGGGGAATGTTTCACTGGCCTGCTAATACTGATCAATCATCACTTGAATACCACAGCCTGTTTGAGTATTGTTGCTGACCACATGAATCCATGACCACAATTTACCATCTTCTAACAGTACAGTCGACCCAAACTCATGAACATGACAGTACATAAACCTGAATGTATCACACATATTCCTCAACTACTTTAAGTTAATGGTACTTTTTAATGATTTTGAACATCAGAATTTGAGTTGAATCAACTTGTTGCAGTTTAGTCTGTTGCCATGGCAACTTTAATACAGCCACATTTAAAAATGAAACACCACTAGCGTTGGTTTTAATCGATTCTCTCTTCATTTTCTGTCTGCTGCTGGGCTGGTCAGACAACATTCAGCCGTTAAAAATAATCTAAATGAGACTTTAGATTTGCTAAAAGAGTAAGAATTGATGATTTGCAGAAACATGCATTTATCTAACACACAAAATCTTAGTAATTCAAACTTAATTTAATGATTCATTTCTACTCTTTTAAAATGTATTGCTTTAATCATGCTTTAATTTGCATTTGTTACTTTTTGTATTTTAATTTTTTATTTGAATTTTATATTTGTATTTTTTGTATTCTTTGTATTTCCTCATTTGTAAAGCATTTTAAATGGCCGTAGTGTACGAAAGGTGCTGTATAAATAAACTTGCCTAACATGCTGTATTTAGTATTTTAAGTACATTGAACTTAAAATCGCTGGTTTGTTTGCCAGTGCTTAACTTGTACCTCATTTTTTTCAAGTTATGTTAACTTATTGGAGCTTACAGTACAGGAGCAGAACAGCAGCCGAGTCACAACAAAGAGAAACAGACATAATCGAGAAAATTACACTCCCACCTAAACAATAGAGTGAACACAACAGGAGCCCACAAGGGGAGAATCGAACTCAGACTGCAGATCGGAGCTATGGCAGCGTTAAAAAAAAAAACTCCTGCACTCGTCACACCCGCCTGACTGCCATCAGAGGAAAACATTCATACAGTAAGAACCTACCGAAGGTTCCCAAAGCTTTAAACTGCTATAGACGTATTCACACTGTGTGGAGGTTCTTAAAAACACTCGCACATCTACAGCCTTAAAAGGTTTTTGAAGGTTCTTTCACAAGGCAGTGGTGACATATAGAATCATCACAACTTAAATAAAACATTTTAACTCTTTAACTGGTTCTTTCCATGAGTGAATGGTTCTTGTCAATAATGGAGAACATGTTTTTATGGAACTGGAAAAAAATAGGGTCTTTGAAGAGCGTATAAAAAGGTTTAAAAAAAAAAACATTTTTGGTACTGTACAAAATTTTTTGTTAAGAGTGTAAATAGTGGACTCTCAAAGAAGGTTCTTTAAGAAAGCAAAAGTGGTTCTTCAAAGTCATCACTCATAAGAACCTAAACTGACGCCTGTTTTTGAGAGTTTTGTTTCTGCGCTGCTCTGTGTTGTGAATATTTGTGTCCACGGAGGAGACGCTTGACCACAGCTGTTCAGGCTGGACCATCTCACCCTCTCCTCCTTATGCAGCTGTCAATCAGAGCCTCCAAAGACCACCATGTTCCTCCAGCAGGATGGAATGAATGGTTTTCTTCCCACATTTGCTGAAAACAAGACAATGAGTGTTTGATAAGAATGTACTCTCTAGTGTAACGTAAATAGATAAAACCATGCACACAATGACTCGCTCCAGCCCACACACTGATCTGAGGCTTTTACTGCAGATCCTCATTTGTTTTAATGAGAAAGACTTTCTGGTGGGACTCATTCTTGGTGGTACCCTGCCCCACTCCACGGTGGTTCATGTGCCGTGATTAATAAAAAAACAATTTCAATTCTTGCGTAGAATGCCTGCTTGTCTGCCTTAGAGTTACAGCTGTGTTTAAGTGTAACATGTCCCAGTACGCCACCTAGGGGACAAAAAGAGAGATGTTTCTATCTAGCTGTTTGAAAGCTGCGTGTGTATATCCAAAAGTCAGAGATCACATTGAATATGTGAGTTTGTTTTCATTTAATCCTGAAAATAAACAAAGTAATATTTTGGAATCTTAAAAAAATTTAAATTATGTTGATTGATACAAAAATGTCTGACTGTTTTTTTTCTGATCTCTTCCAGTGAAGCTCGTGTTCAGACACTCAGCTCTGGATGATCTGCTGATTTCTGCTGATCTCTCTCTATCTCATATTATACACCGATCAGGCATAACATTATGACCACCTCCTTGTTTCTACGCTCATTGTCCATTTTATCAGCTCCAAATACAATCATAGACTGTAGTCCATCTGTTTTTCTGCATACTTTGTTAGCCCCCTTTTACCCTGTTCTTCAGTGGTCAGGACCCCCATGGACCCTCACAGAGCAGGGACTATTTGGGTGGTGGAGTTTTTAAACACCTCAGTGTCACTGCTGGACTGAGAATAGTCCACCAACCAAAATTATCCAGCCAACAGCGTCCTGTGGGCAGCGTCCTGTGACCACTGATGACTAGAGGATGACCGACACAAACTGTACAGCAGCAGATGAGCTATTGTCTCTGACTTTACATCTACAAGGTGGACTGACAAGGTAGGAGTGTCTAAAGAGTGGACAGTGAGTGGACACAGTGTTTAAAAACTCCAGCAGCACTGCTGCGTCTGATCCACTCGTACCAGCACAACACACACTAACACACCACCACCATGTCAGTGTTACTGCAGTGCCGAAAACGATCCGCCACCCAAATAGTACCTGCTCTGTGATGGTTCATGGGGGTCCTGACCACTGAAGAACAGGATAAAAGGGGGCTAACAAAGTATGCAGAGAAACAGATGGACTACAGTCTGTAATTGTAGAACTACAAAGTGCACCTATATAGTAAGTGGAGCTGATAAAATGGACAATGAGCGTAGAAATGAAGAGGTGGTCATAATGTTACGCCTTATCGGTGTGTGTATATATATGTATATATATATACACACACACACATTGAATAATTCAGTTAAGTTATTCAGGTTTTACCAAGAATGGACATAGAGTATTATGGTAAACTGGGAGTGTTTGTGCTGTCATCCTGCTGCTCTCACATGCTCACTCAGGTTTGTTGACGGTGGAGCGCAGGAGTGCTGACATCTCAGGGAGCCCTCATGTCTATGTTACCCTCTGGCTTTCCCTTTTAGTTAGGCTGTAGTAACTACACCTACCAGAGTCTCTGATGTACTCTGTTAACACTGTATACTGTAATCAGTCTGTATTAAACAAATCTCACAGTCTGTGTGTTTATTTGCCGAGTTGAACCCATCCTGCGCGGCCCGATGCTGTTGTTCATCAGTCTTGATCGGGTGCCCACTGCTCGCCCGCCTTCTGGACCGGTTTGACCACCATGAAGCTTCTCGCCGTACAACGATGTGCAAGCCTCACCTGCATGAACTGACCCTTGTGATGATACTACTGCTGCTGCTGTACAGACTCAAACTCTCTAATTATAACCATTGCTTCACCTGTTTTTCCCCATTTCTGTATTTTAATAGCTTATAATAACGTTGTTTGCTATTCGTTGTCGACGAGAGGAGGATGGGTTCCCCTTATGAGTCTTGGTTCCTCTCAAGGTTTTTTCCTCTTGCTTTTAGGGAGTTTTTCCAGCCACTGTCGCCATTGGTGACGCTCATGGGGGCTTGGACCCAGATTTTTCTGTAAAGCTCCATTGTGACAATGCCTGTTGTAAAAATCGCTGCATAAATAAATTCAAAGTTTCAAAGTCAAAGTTTAGTCATAATTAAGTTGTGAGAGTACATTCTCTTATTCCAACAGAAAAAATACACCAATCAGGCATGACATTATGATCACCTCGTTTCTACACTCATTGTCCATTTTATCAGCTCCACTTACTATATAGGTGCACTTTGTAGTTCTACAATTACAGACTGTAGTCCATCTGTTTCTCTGCATACTTTGTTAGCCCCCTTTTACCCTGTTCTTCAGTGGTCAGGACCCCCATGGACCCTCACAGAGCAGGTACTATTTGGGTGGTGGATCATTCTCAGCACTGCAGTAACACTGACGTGGTGGTGGTGTGCTAGCGTGTGTTGTGCTGGTACGAGTGGATCAGACGCAGCAGTGCTGCTGGAGTTTTTATCCATTCACTGTCCACTAACACACCACCACATCAGTGTTACTGCAGTGCTGAGAATGATCCACCACACAAATAGTATCTGCTCTGTGAGGGTCCATGAGGGTTCCTGACCACTGAAGAACAGGGTAAAAGGGGGCTAACAAAGTATGCAGAGAAACAGATGGACTACAGTCTGTAATTGTAGAACTACAAAGTGCACCTATATAGTAAGTGGAGCTGATAAAATGGACAATGAGTGTAGAAACAAGGTGGTGGTTATAATGTTATGACTGATCGGTGTAGTTTTAAAAAGTAAATGCTTTTTATTACAGACAGTCTTAGCAGTCTGATTAACTTGGTGCTCACAGAACTTTATTAGGATACTTACTGTAGGAATGGAGACATATAGCTATACATAAGGTACAGGACGGCTGTCAGGACAAAACCTTCTTTTGTTTTTCTCCATTTTTTTATATATGATCTGAAAACACTAGCTTTACATTATATTGGGTCAAACCTTCATGATGAATGGACCAACACAAATGATGCAGAATTAGTTGGGGGAAAAAAGTTATTGTTTTAGATCTACAAGGTATTGTCCCAACAGCAACATTATATACACTTAAAAAAACAGTAATACAGATTGTTTTTTACAATCCCCACATAATTCAGTGTGTGAGATGTAAACAAAGTGATTCAGACTGGTTTGGTGTGAAATGGTTCAGATTTCTTTACAGTGGATAGGAACCAGGGGTCACCATGACTACAACACAAGTATCGACATTTTATTTACTATCCAAAACCAGTGAACCTACACCTGTCTGAGTTTTATATGGAATGTTGATAGAAAAAAAGTGGAAAATCTAAAATAATAAGTTTCTTTGGGGACTATTTTGCCTGCATATCATGTACCCCGTAGGCGGCACGGTGGCGCTGTGGGTAGCGCTGTCGCCTCACAGCAAGAATGGCCTGGGTTCGATTCCCGGCTGGGCGACCAGGGTCATTTCTGTGTGGAGTTTGCCTGTTCTCCCCGTGTCTGCGTGGGTTTCCTCCCACAGTCCAAAAACATGCAGTCAGGCCAATTGGACATGCTGAATTGCCCCTAGGTGTGAGTGTGTGTGTGACTGTGTATGTCTGTCTGTCTGCCCTGTGATGGACTGGCGACCTGTCCAGGGTGTATCCTGCCTTCCGCCCAATGACAGCTGGGATAGGCTCCAGCACCCCACCGTGACCCAGAAGGATAAGCGGTTTAGATGATGTATGTATGTATGTATGTATCCCTCCACCATGCATGGAGTTTAAGGCTGAACTCTTCTCAAAACTATCTGAAAAAAATGATCTCAGATATCAGGCAGTACATTCATAACCATTTTATATAATAACTTTCTGTGAGGGAGCTTTTAGAGGTTGACGCCTGGTTCCCATCACCACCACCGTGAACAATTCTGACTCACTAAGTTTCTCTAGAACAGAGTGTTTCACACCAAACCACTCTGAATGACTCTGTTTACATCTTAACCACTGAATTATGTAGAATTTTTGTTATCCTTTAAGAACAGAAGCACTGAAAAACAACCATTCATTAGTGCAGAAAAGTCTTTATGACTTTAAGGAAAATAATAAATAACTGAGCACAGTAGAAGTCCATGAAGTTCATCATGTTTGGTGTCACAGCTCAGTCCAGTGGTTGTAGTCTAAGGATTGGAATGTCCTCCTGGTTCACATTAGGGTCCCACTGCAGAATGTCTGAATGGGAGAACATATCTGAACATGGTAACTGACCAAGTTCATACCTTCACAGCTGCAGTTTATCCTCACTTAGATTAACACTTCCAGCACAACAACACAGCATGTCACAAAGTGTGCATTATCACTGCAGGCTTACAGGAACACGTTCCTCTCAACCCCGTCCAGCATCTTTGGTGGAAGATCTGCTCACAGCGCGACTGTTCAGCTGTCCAATCTGCAGCGAGTCACTTCTGGATGGAGAAACGTTCATGAACAGTGCGTTCTGTGTCTTGTAGAACCTCATGCTCAAGCCAGTTCATGCTGTTCTGAAGGTCAAATAAGGATCAACACTTTGTTGTATAATAATTACACAATCACACAAGAAAGAGAAGGTCAGGACCTATTTTTCTCATAATGCTAACAGCTGCTTTCATTAGAACAGACAGTTTGTGTCTGATAAAAATGTCCAGACAGCCCAATTTAGTCATGGCCAGGTTCCTGCGTTAGCTAGAACAGTGTTTCTCAGTGCTGGTCCTGGAGGCCCACTGCCTTGCACATTCAGCATTCTCCCTGCTTTAACCAAAAATATTTAACATAAGGCCTTACCTGAACTGAAGCCCAGAGGTGTGTAACTAGACCCACAACCACTTGTAGCCCCCCAACAGGTTCGAGCACCCCAGCTTTAGCACACCCACTTCAACTCAGTAAGAGGCTGTTAATGGGCAGATTAGCTGGATCAGCTGTGCTGGAAGCAAGAAAACTCTAAACCGTGCAGGGCAGTGGGCCTCCAGGACCAGCACTGAGAAACACTGGCTAGATCAGATGATGCTACCAGGCTGGGAGGTGAATCTGTTAACATCATTGGAGTTCAACACACTCGAAGGAGAACGTTAACTGCCAATTCTGTTACGTTCACTAACAGATGGCCACGTTGGCTAACATTGAGCTGAGTGATGTGGGGAGGGAGGACCTACCTACCCAGAGAGGGACAAACCTGCTACATTCTCTTGGACTCCTGGCCATGGATAGTTGTGGCTTCACCGGGGATCAAACTCCCTGCACCAAAACCTAGGCCTTGTTCAGACTGCCAGCCCAAATCTGATTGTCATATCCAGATTGTATCCAGCAAAAAAAACACAGTTTCTGAGATCCAAACCACATTTGGAGGTGGTTTGAAATGCAACTCTAGTCGGATGTTTACAGATACGTCTCAGTCTGGACGCTCAGATTGGATTTTAAGGTCACTGCGTCACTCGCAACGCAACAAACAACAACGTCAAATCTAGAGTGACAGAAGTGCTGGGATTCAAGAAGAGCGGCAAATATTTATGCTTATGTCGTTACCACATCAACCCAAGTGGATAGGCTGGTGATGTCTGGACACACAAATCTGATCTGATCACATACAAATAACAGAGCAGACAGTCAACCCAAAAGATCTGATTTGAGAAACAAATCGATTTGCCTGCAGTCTGAACACAGTCTTAGTTGCACCACTCGGGAGTCCCAAACAGCTCGTCCAGCTGAGTTCAGCTGCACCCACTGCTGACACAGCTTGCATAACCTCCATAGAAAAGCACTGACCAAAAGTATCGGACACTCTGGAGCAGCTGCACATGATCCTAAGGTCACCATGCCCATGGCCAAGCATGGGCTACAGGGGCATAAAGACCCCCAGCATTGGGCTGTGGAGCAGTGGAACTGGAGTGATTGCAGTGTTTTCTGGAGTGATTGAGCTCTATCCAATACCTTTGGGCCGAGTTGGAGTGATCCAGAACTGACTATCCAGCATCAGTACCTGACCTTACTAATACTGAATCAAATCCCCACAGCAATGTTCCAACATCAAATGTAAAGCCCTCCCAGAAGAGGCTGTTACTGCTGCACAAACTCACTATTAATACCCTTCATTTCAGAAGGAATGCTGGAGGAACCGGCGTCTGCAGACTGTTGAAGGTACGGCTCCTCCCTCTTGGTGCATTTATGGGTCTTTAAATTGTTAGAGGACCTGAAACTCTTGCTGCACTCCGAACAGTGGTACGGTTTCTCTCCAGTGTGGATGCGCTGGTGTAGATGGAAATTGCTGTGCTGATTAAAACTCTTGCCGCACTCCGAGCAGTAATACGGCTTCTCTCCTGTGTGGATGCGCTGGTGAGCTTGGAGATGAATGTTCTGACTAAAGCTCCTCCCGCAGTCTGAGCAGTGATACGGCTTCTCTCCTGTGTGGATGCGCTGGTGTTTTGTGAGGGTACCTGCTTGTCTAAACGTCTTTCCGCAGTCTGAGCAGCGGTACGGTTTCTCTCCAGTGTGGATGCGCTGGTGTAGATGGAAATTGCTGTGCTGATTAAAACTCTTGCCGCACTCCGAGCAGTAATACGGCTTCTCTCCTGTGTGGATGCGCTGGTGAGCTTGGAGATGAATGATCTGATTAAAGCTCCTCCCGCACTCCGAGCAGTGATACGGCTTCTCTCCTGTGTGGATGCGCTGGTGTTTTTTGAGGGTACCTGCTTGTCTAAACGTCTTTCCGCAGTATGAGCAGTTGTGTGGTTTCTCTCCGGTGTGGATCCGCTGGTGCAGCTGCAGATCGCTCTGTCGTTTAAAACTCTTCCCACAGTCCGAGCAGCGACACGGCGTTTCTGCCATGTGAACACTCTGGTGTTTTTTGAGGGCACTTCCATCGCTATAGCTCTTCCCGCACTCTGAGCACCAGTATGGTTTCTCTTCTGTGTGGACACGATGGTGTAATTGGAGATGACTCTGCTGACTGAAGCTCCTCCCACACTCTGAGCACTGATACGGTTTCTCTCCTGTGTGGATGCGCTGATGTGTTTCCAGATCCCCTTCTAGATTAAAACTCTTTCCACAGTGTGAACAGTGATACGGTTTCTCTCTCTGTAGCTGCAGATCACTCTGTGGAGGGGAACTCTTCCCACTCTCCGAGTGCTCATATAGGTCCTCTTCCGTATGAACGTTCTGGTGCTGTTTGGGGGTACTCCCGTCTCTACTCTTCTCGAACTCCGAGCAGGAATACGGCTTCTCTTCTTCGTGGATCTTCTGGTGTTTTAGGAGATCGCTCAGCTGAGTAAAAGTTCTTCCGCACTCTGAGCAGCAGTGACGTCTCTCCTCATTGGTACTCTTCTGCCTTCGTCTGCGAGATGCATCAGTGCGGAGAGCACCAGAGGACGTCTGTAGAGCAGCCGAACTTCTTTGGGACTCCATATTCTTGTATTTGATTCCTCCTGATTTCAGTAGTGAGGCTTTTGCCTCTTGCTGACCTTGCTGATGTGTTTGTGCACGTAGGTTTGAGCTCTGTAGGAAAGTGGACACTAAGACCAGGAGGAGACTTCTAACAGGACATCATGTGTTTCTGGAGGAGAGAAAAAAAAGAAAATATTCAAAATGTGAAATGTAACAAAAATAAATTAAAGTCCACTCACTGTTGGAAATCACCCAATCTGTTCCTGAAAAACAGTAAAACAATGCTAGAAATGCCAAAAAGCACTGCTCCACTACTTTACTGCTCCATCTGAATTCATTGAGACCTATCAGAGAGACATCTGGATGGATGTTCCTCTCACTCTGAGCCTTTACAGCACTCAAGCAGAACTAAACATAGTGGGGCAAATGCAGAAAATCCAGATTGTTTAGCCCAACAGGTACAAATTTACCTTTGTAGGTTCTGAGAATCAGACAGGAGTTCCAGTAGCAGCTAAACCAACTGAAGCAGCACTCAAAGGAGAGATTATCAGAGGAGAGTCCAAACCTGTGGTCTCACTTCTACAGTTAGATTAGGAAACAGAGCACAGCTACAAATCTGTGATCACACTTTTTGTCATCAGTTCCACTGCTGTACCGGAAACAGTGGAGACCAACGATCAGAACAATCAGAACTAACAGCTCCTCTTTTGTGGACACCTTTGTTTACACTTACTGTAACACCAGTATCGTGTGGGAGATCAAATCTCCACCACGCAACCTCCTCAAAGCTCTTCATACTGTCATGAGCTCTGCTGTGCAGCAGGAAACGGACACAGAGAGTCAAACAGGGTCCAGAGAGTTCTGGGTTTGGATTAATAACCACATCATGCCGTACTGCACCATCTGGTGATAAAGCTCCACTGGGATTAGACGAAAAAACATTTCAGAACCAAAATTTGATACTAGTCACTGCTGCTGTTCCATCTGCCTCCTAGTCTCTCTGGACAACACAGGATCTTGTATCAAGAACATCTGTGGACGACCATGAGACATTTTGGGCTGACTGTTGGTACTGTCCAAAATTATAGTATTTTAAGAATATTGCACTCAGAAAGTTGGGTTATGTAACGGAGGGAACGCAGCGATCCACACTCAGGTTTGTGTGATGCCTATTGTTTGTGTGATTTTTATGTGTAGATATGGCAAAGAACCTGTTCTGGTCAAATAACCTGTAGATGTGATTGGTTTTATAATAAGCTTATTTCATTTAACAGTTTGAGGAGATTGTACGGTTATGTAGTAGTTACTTATTTACAATAATTGTTTTGTAGCTAGGTAAGTTATAGCACTCCTTAATCCGTGTAGATATTCATAATAGGAATTTTCCCGTTCCATCTTAAATGGTGCAGCTTCTTGTTCATATTTTCCCGTTCCACCTTAAATGGCGAATAGGAAGCCAGCTTTAGCTTCGTCCTTCCTACTGTTTTTTGGGGGGGGTTATTTTATTAAGATTAGAAGTGTTCGTGATATTATGTTGCTACCGGAGCTCGCGCTGAACTCGGTTTTTAATATCAGGTGCAGACTAAATATTTTCCTGCCAGTCCGGACGGCTAATTAGAACGATCAGTTACTGAAGAAATAAAAGCTACCGAGAGCAGTCCATGCAACATAGATTAATCCACATCTGAGGATTATAACAAAACAAATTTGGTGAAAATCGGTTTAGTAATAAGGAAGTTGTGGCCGATTTAATCCTGAGAACTCATCATCTCTCAGTACAAGTGAACTTGTTCACAAGCGGATCTTGACCGCTCCAACATGGCGGACGCGCAGACGTATCGCTTCAGATAGAGAACAACAGACAACACGGCATCTAGCTATGTGTATCTATGGTACGGATGTAGCGTAAGTTAGCACGGATGCAATCCCCCTAATCCTGAAGATCCAGCTCCAAAAACCTAACAGACTGTTCCTCTTTACTGTAACCGAACTGATGATATTAATAATCTCTTTATTTTGCTGCCGTTTTTCCAACATTCACACACAATTACACATTTTATATTCACTTTGGATCATATCTGTAAATCTGTACATATTTCAGCTTTGCACGTTTAATGACATCATCTGTTTATGCACATTGTTTTCTTACTGGTTTATAAACTGAATAAACTGATAACAGATCACAGAAATACCTGTATATAAATAAATGATCTCTAAGTGAGGAGCTCTTACCTTAAGCAGAGCAGATCTTCTGCTGCTCTTCTGCTGGATCGGTGCAGATCTTCTGTTTCTTCGCTGGTGGATCAGAGCAGATCTTCTGTATCTCCGCTGCTGGATCAGTTCAGATCTTCTGTTTCTCTTCTGGTTAATTAGAGCAGATCTTCTGCTTTTCACCTGGTGGATCAGAGCAGATCTTCTGCTTCTTATCTGGGGGATCAGAGCAGATCTTCTGTATCTCCGCTGCTGGATCAGTTCAGATCTTCTGTTTCTCTTCTGGTTAATCAGAGCAGATCTTCTGTTTTTCACCTGGTGGATCAGAGCAGATCTTCTGCTTCTTATCTGGGGGATCAGAGCAGATCTTCTGTTTCTCTGCTGCTGGATCAGTGCAGATCTTCTGTTTCTCTTTTGGTGAAACAGAGCAGATCTTCTGCTTTTCACTTGGTGGATCAGAGCCGAGCTTCTGTTTCTCTGCTGGTGCATCAGAGCAGATCTTTTGTTTCTGTTGTATCTGATTTTCTGCTTCTAAATCTTCTGCTTCTCCGCTGCTTAGCGCCCCCTGGTCGGCTGCAGGAGCTTCACACCGGAAACACGTGGTCACCGAGTCTGGAGGAGCCCCGCCCCCTTCGCTGTGATTGGATAGTGGCTCAGAAGAGCTCTCCGCTGATGAGTCAGTTTAGACGATGCACCCTGAGGTTCATAACCGAGATTATTGATCTTAACCTGTGATTAATAAAAAGATGAGATTAATTACAGATAATATTATTCATTATTCACTGATTGAAACAGAAGGGCTGTAAAAGCGGATCTGCTAACACTGCTTAACTGAGTATCAGACTGAGATAAAAGCTTCACTCGAAACAGACACCCTGAATGACAGAGCGGAGTGAACGAGTTCCTGAAGGAGTGAAAACGCAGTAAAGAGTGAATGTGAAGCAGAATATTCTTCTAATCTGATAGCAGCTCTGTTTATAATTCATTACTGAGAGCAGAGCGACATTTTAATGTCTGTTTTACTATTAAACAGTGATTTGATACACAGCACTGACTGCAGGACTCTCTATTACTGTCAAAATAAAAGCCCTCTCTCCCCAAACGTTGCCATCTAGACAACAGCAGAGATTAAAGATGAACAATTGAACAAAAAGAAAAACAGCAATCATTTTGGACCGCAATCAAACCCATTTACTTCCATAAAGGACAGTATTTCTGTTTTTTTTTTCCATGCTTGCTAAGTAAGAGGTTCTATAATTCAAGAAAAGCTGTTTAACTTTTAAGCCAAATTTTAAGCACAATGTTCGTTAAATTAATGTGGATTAATTATTTTTAAGATGTTTGATTGCACTGCCTGCTCCAAAATTAAAACACCTGTTATATTTAATAGCAGCAGCAATGGACAACTGCAGGACTCCATTACTGTCAAAATAAAAGCCCTCACCGATCAGACGCCACATTCTGGAGGACAGTAGCAACAAATTTTATAAAATAAAAGGTCAAATACAAAAACAATTTAAGAAAGTTTTGAACTACAACTATTATTCAATACATTTTCATTAAATAGAAACTGGACTGTGGACCTAACAAGCACCACAGTGCTGATTCAGTTTACTGCCGTTCCACAACATTCTAAGTTCCTGTTTAATGAGTGTGCAGTAAGTTAAGGTTAATGAGGCCTTGGCCAATAAATAGAAGGGAAATTCCACCAAATTTTGTGAAGCGTCTGCATAATTGAGTGTTTGAGATAACTACAACACAAATATAGACCTTTTATTTACTATCCAAAACCACCAGAGAACCTACATGTCTTCTGAGATTTATATGTAATGTTGATGATGGGGTAAATAGTGGAAAATCTAAAATAAGTTTTCTTTGCTTCACGATGCCCTGCATGCAAACCGCCACCATTAATAGCTTAAAAACACATTTAAAAACATTACAAATGAGTGAAACTGAATGAAGAAAAATTAAATGATAAAATCTGTTTTAAACTTTGTATTTATTCACACAAACTCATTATTATAGTTGTTTTAATAAGGCATCACAATATATACAGACATAGAAATTTTATATATTATATAATGAATACCATATTTCAGTTACGTCTCCACTAACATGTCACTCACTACGACTACAAGCCTGAATAAAGTTATGGTGAAGTGAATCCGTGTTAATGCTATAGCGGTTACGGGCTCCTTCTTGGGTAAATAACTATTTCTTCTAACTGTTATACAGACTCTGCTCTGTAGAGTTAGTAGAATCACACTGTTGCCATAAAAACTGTATTTTTCTAATATAAACTCATAAAGAGGAACTGATCAGCTGAGTGTGAAAAATACAACACAATACAAACAGAATAACTGATACTGCTGTAGGTATTATAAATGAATTCTGAATGAATATACATCTTTACCACATCGTTTTGCCCCAAAGCGCACCATAAACATTCAGTTTATCGTAGCGTCTGCAGAAAACAGCGTTCAGTACCGACAGGCCAGACCTCGACTCTCACCTCCTACTCTTTTACTCTCGCCTCTGCTTTCTTCTGAACAGCATCTACTGCTTTCCTTCATCACAGCATTTACAAAAATATAGACTCTATTCTTAATAACAAACCTCAGTAGGTTAGTGAGCCGACGGGCTGACAGGGAGTACAAAATTCACTAATCAGTGAAGGACAATGTTAAAAGCACTGGTTAATTAAACAATTAACTCCTTAATTAATTATATGATGCAAAATTAAAACAGTAATAGTGGTGGCACATGAGTTTCAGCAGATAACTGCTTAAAGATCATTAGTTCAGTATTAACATTTTGTCAGTATTTAGTGCTAACACACCATGTGTCCAGTACATCAGTTAAAACTTCAGGCAATTCCTGTGTACCTTCACTGTAAAACTCGTTCAATTTCCTCTATTAAGTTTTAATTCATTAATAAGATAAGTTTCAACCTTATTTATGATTGTAATGAATCTAAAATGATTCGATTTTGGCTAGAGAAGGCACTGATCTAATGTCAGGTATCATTAACTTTTTTTTATCAAGATTAGTAGCCTCAAAGAAGAAACGGTCAGATTGATATCGGCCAATACTCAAAGTTTCAATGTCAGATCGGTATCAGTATCACTGATACTCAAGGTTTCAGTATCCGGTCGGTATCCACACTGTATGTTTCAATATTGGTATTGGAAAATCGTACCATATCCATTATTGACTGTTACAGAAAAAATCAATTAGCAGCAATGATCCTGATCATTTTCACATCATCCATAACAGAAAAGTACAAACAGCAACGATTCAGAATCAGAACTGAAGAGCCTTCCAGAATGAACAGAGTGAGAAACGCAGTTTACAGTCCAAACTTCCATCAGTCAGTGGAGAGCGGATCGTTTTTCTGAAAAAGTTTAGAATAATTCCCCATCACTCACTCTCTCTCTCTCACTCACACACACACACACACACACAGTTTATCCGTAGTTGTAGGTGAAGTTGTAGGTGCTGGGCTCCTTGGGCACAGGGGGCGGGGCCTCAGGGATGGTGATGTTCTCTAGGTCGAGGAGGCGGAGCTTCATCTCCATGCTAATGAGCGTGTCGAGGTCGCTGCGCGTGAGGTCACTTCCCATCTCTCTGCCCAACAGCGCACACAGTCCGTCCGTCCAGATACAGTACTGATCACCACAATGACCGCAAGAAATTACACAAACACACAAACATACAGGACACGTCAGGTACACAAAAAAACACATAATCAAACACAAACTATCCATACGCACTATCACAGCACGACCATCTCCATACGCATCCCTACAAAGCTAAAATGAGGGATGTACTGAGTCAGAGTGGGTTTGTGTGTTTATGTTTGAAGAGCATGTTTCCTTCACGAACAATAAAGTTTGTGTAATCTAATCCAAAACTTTCACTTTTTACAGACTCGTTTTGTTCCTCCACTTCAGACGGATTACTGATCACTACGCACTGTGACCACCACTGTTAACATAAAGATCAAACTCTCCACCTGATTCCTCAACTCTAATAACCTTCCGACCCGTACTCTGTGACATCATACTGCCCTGCTCTAGTGGGACTCACCTCATATTTGCTGGGTGCCACAAAGTTGAGAGCCTCATCAGGATCATAGAGGATGGAGAACGCCAACTCTAGAACCTCCTAAATAATAACCCACACACACACACACACACACACACACACACACACAGCAAAACAACACATTTAACTGTGTCACTAATCTGAAGCAGCTCTGTTCACAGAAGAACACAGTCAGATTGTTACCTTCACTCTGTAATCAAGAGGTTTAGTTTACATGAAAAGGTGAGTAAAGCTCTGCTGGAGTGGATTAGATTAATCTGGGGAGGGGAGGTTCTCTAATCTGAGAGATTACAGACAAGAACTGATTTTATATATCCAGTATGAGTCTGCAATGTCTGTAGCTTTTACAAGTCTGCTCAGCAAGGTGCGAAATACAGGGGGTCCTGGGAAGCTCTGAGACCCCCTAAATAACCCCCTAAATAACCTCTTGGACCCCCTGAATGTCTCCAAATCTAAATTCTTGGATTCAGTGAAGCTCACTGTTTATCTGCTTCACCCACAATCAGCTTCTGTCTTTGGTGTTCTTAACTAACTAGAGCTGCAGCACTGCTCTGCCTCAGGGTGGCACTGTAGAAGACTGGTTCACCCTGTTGGTGCTTCATAGTCTAGAAACTGTAACTCTGCCTGGATTCCTTTGAAAAACTTTTCTGAAAATCTGAAAACCAGAAGGAGAAACTCTCTCCCACAGAAACAACTTTTCTCAGCTGCCTGAAACGCCTGGTTGGAATTCCAGTCTTTTTCCTTTGTTTCAAGATGACGCAATCTTGTAACACAGCCCTTTCTGCCCGCCTACCGGCCAGCTCGGCACACCCTCACACAACGCGCAGCAGCTTCTGGAGGAGGAAGAGTGTGGTCAGTGTTGTAGCTGTGTGGAGAAGACGCTGACCGGACTTTTCAGGATTGACTCTGGATCAAACTGATACGGCAGAACCGACGCCGCTGGAGAAACAGCCACAGCACAGTTTATAGCTGCTCAGGAGAGAAGGGTCTGTCTGCAGACTGCAGGACAGGGGCGGAACGTAGAGGGGCGGATCCGCTCTAGAGGTCGACCAGTCAGAACAGAGTGGGCGAGCTGACCAATCGGAGCCCACTGGGCTCATCATGAGGTGGGGTTTAAAGACACTGGAGCTCTAACAGAGCGTTTCAGACAGAGGGTAACTAGAGATGTACAGTATGAGGAAAATAATGTGTTTTTGGTTTTAGGTGATGTACCTTGTTCTGTTTCAGTGCACTTTTCTCCTTCATGTGTGGACAGTCCTTCCCAGTCACTACAGATTTAATATCGGACACTGGGACTGTAAGAGAACAAGAACAGAATAAACCAGTCAAAATTGGCTCAAACTACACAAATATGACCAGTAGAGAACCCTCAGAGCCTTCTAGACCTTCAGAGAAGGCCTAATGATTTCTGGAACTGAATCTCTGTAATGTTTAGTTCATCTCTA